GACAATGAAGATTTTATTCACCTCCAGACACCGTCCCCCGCGGGTTCTTGGAACAATATTGTTCCCCAGCCAAGAAGCAGAGGCCAGAGCCTCCGCTGTCTCTGGACAGCCTCTTCCCACCTGTACCCCTGCACCTCTCCCCAGCTTCTCTCCCAGCAGGTCCTTTGGTCAGCGGTCCAGGCATGACTTGAACTTGGTGCTCTCCCCCTCTCTCCACTCTGCCTTCCCTGTCTGGACAGTGGGTTGGTGATTGCCAGGCCCTTCATTCCCTCACCCTGTCTGCTGGGCAGGCACAGTGGTGAACAGGATGGCCAAGGTGGTGGAATGAAGAGAGGTGGGGATGGGGACTGTGCTGGTCTTGGTTAGGCAGGCGCTTTACTACTTGAACCATGCCTCTAGCCTTGTGCTGGTCTTGAGAAGCCAGGGCTTCAGGGTTCAGCTCTTGAGGAGGATGGGGTCTAACCTCTGGGTGTGACAGTCCTGCCACCTGGGGAATTCCAATCTGCATGTTTCAGTGAATCAGCTCCTCCAGTGTTGCAGCCCCTGGCACCATGGGTAAGGTTCATGGTGGGTCTCTCGGAAGGACCGATGCCTACTGAATCCCCCCCCCAAGGGCACCCAGAGGGAGCAGGGGTGACAGCAGCACCGCCCCCAGAAGAGGGAATGGCAGACATTGTTCACACCCTACAATCACACCATCTGCTCCTGGGAGCACAGAGAGGAAAGGCAGGTGAACAAGGAATCATTCTTTCATTTTCTCACTCATTCATTTATTCATTCAATATGTTTATCTTCTGATTTTTTTTTTGCCAGTCCTAGGGCTTGAACTCAGGATCTGAGCTCTGTCCCTCAACCTCTCTGTGCTCAAGGCTGGTGCTCTACCACTTGAGTCACCACAGCGCCACTTCCAGCTTTTTGAGTAGTTTATTGGAGATAAGAGTCTCACAGACTTTCCTGCCCGGGCTGGCTTTGAACTGTGATCCTCAGATCTCAGCCTCTGAGTAGCTAGGATGACAGATGTGAGCCACTAGTACTGGGCTAGCTTTTTTTTTTTTTTGGTCAGTCATGGGACTTGACCTCTGGGCCTAGGCATTGTCCCTGAGCTTTTATGCTCAAGGCTAGTACTTTACCACTTGAGCCACAGCTCCACTTCCAGTCTTTTCTGTGATTAATTGGAGATAAGAGTCTCATGGACTTTCCTGCCCAGGCTAGCTTCAAACCACGATTCTCTGACCTCAGTCTTCTGAGTAGCAAAGATGGCAGGCAGGAACACCGGTGCCCAGGGGCATGCAGAATCTTGTACATTCAGCAGGGAGGTGTTCCCATTTAACAGACGAGAAAGATGAGGCTCAGAGAAGCCACATGGCCAGCTCTGGCTTCTCCATGGCGCTGACTCATTATGGCTCTGCCTCTTTGCCCCATATCAAGAGACTTTTCAATCCTGCCACCATGTTCCTCCTCAGACAGTGGGGGCTGCGGCTCCTCCATACTCCCCAGCCCCTTCGCCAGCGGGAGGCAGCACCCGGCAGTGGAGGGCTTGGAGCTGGCTCTCAAAGTCAGCAAGGGTCTCTCAATTGGCGCTTGAGGCACTCAGAGCCTGCCCCCATCTTTGAGAATTCCCCACCTGGGTACCAAGGCCTGGAGTTGCCCCTTCATTGGGCAAGGGCCACACACCATGGAGCAGCTTCTCCGGAGGTCCCTCGGGGCTGGGCTTGGCAGGCTCCAGGCTCCAGGCCACTCTTCCTCTGCCCCATGGCAAGCTGGCTGGCCAGCTAGAGCCACCTGAACACCTGGCAAACAAGGAATGAACCCACCAAGCTTTCAGTCACTGCAGGGGTCACTATTACTCTTTCCTGTTTCTAGGGAGATGCATTTTCATGCTAATAAGAAACTCCCTCCCCGCACAGGTGGCTCATGCCTGTAATCCTAGTTACTTATGAGGCTGAGATCTGAGGATCACAGTTCAAAGCCAGCTCGAGCAGGAAAGTCCTTGAGACTCTTATCTCCAATAAACCACTCAGAAAACCACAAGTGGTGCTGTGGCTCAAGTGGTAGAGCGCTAGCCTTGAGCTGAAGAGCTGAGGGACAGCACCTAGGCCCAGAGTTCAAGCCCCACGACCGACAAAAAAAGGAAGAAAAAAAAAAAAAAAGAAACTCCCAGCTGGGCTGGGAAGGTGGCTTAGTGGTAGAGTGCTTGCCTAGCATGCATGAAGCCCTGGGTTCAATTCCTCAGTACCACATAAACAGAAAAAGCCAGAAGTGGCTCTGTGGCTCAAGTGGTAAAGTGCCAGCCTTGAGCACAGAGAGGCTAGGCCCTGAGTTCAAGCCCCAAGACTGGCAAAAGGAGGAGGAGGAGGAGGAAGAAGAGGAAAAGGAAACAGCAGCAGTAGCTGCTCATAGCCTACTGCCAAAGTTTCAGACCTGTTATCCTGGTTAATCTGAAGATTGTGGTTCAAAACCAGCCTGGGCAGGAAAGTCCATGAGACTCTTATTTCTAATTAATCACCAGAAAACTCAAGTGGAGCTGTGGCTCAAAATGGTAGAGTACTAGTCTTGAGAAACAGAGCTCATGGACAGCACCCAGGTCCCGAATTAAAGCCCCATGACTAGCAAAAAGAAAGAGAAAGAAAGAAAGAAAAAGCAAGCAAACAAGAAAAACTCCCATTATGGTGGCTCATACCTAGCTACTGTGGTGGGTGAGATCTGAGGGTTGAGGTTGGAAGCTAGCTGGGGCGAGGAAGTTCATAAGACTCATCTCCAATTAAGAAAAAAACTCAGAGCCGGGTTCCGGTGGCTCACACCTGTAATCCAAGCTACTCAGGAGGCTGAGATCTGAGGATCACAGTTCAAAGCCAGCCGGGACAGGAAAGCCCGTGAAACTCTTATCTCCAATAAACCACTAGAAAACTGGAAGTGGCACTGTGGCTCAAGTAGTAGAGCACTCGCCTTGAGCTGAAGAGCTGAGGGACAGCGCCCAAGCCCAGAGTTCAAGCCCCATGACCAACCAAAACCGACCAAAAAAAAAAGAAAAAAGCTCAGGGACAGTGCCTAGGGCTGGCAGGAGGAGGAGGAGGAGGAAAAAGCAGGAAGAAGAACAGGAAGGGGAAGAGGAAGGAGGAGGAGGAGGAAGAAGAGGAAGAGGAGGAGGGGGAAGAGGAGGAGGGGGAAGAGGAGAGGGAGGAGGTAGTAGTTTTCAAGCCTCATGATAAGGAGGTAGTAGACAGCGCTGCCTTGGGTCAGCCTGGCTCAGGTGCTGCGTTCTCTTTGTCATGTCTCTGCTCAATTAGAAACCTCAGTTTCGGCTGTATTGGTGGATGATTGGACAAGAGCAGGTGGGTAAGGACAGTTTTGGGGTGAGGACAGTTTTGGGGATGGGGCTTCTGAGCCTCTTAGATCCCCGTAGGTCCTGAGTGCTCAGCCAGCTGGTCCTAGACAGCTGGGGTCTCTCGTGGCCCCTCTGTGGGGTGCCCGAGCTGCTGGGCGCTCCCTTCAGATCAGTGCTGGGGGCTAGCTAGCCAGGAGCTGTCATGTCTCACTGAATCCCCCCTCCAGGCCCTGAGACAGGACTTTGATTAATCAGCGACAAAAGCAGAAACAAGCAGAAAAATGTAATCAACTTGGGAAGGGCAAGACTGTGGCAATCAGCTCTCCCGCTGGGGCTGGGGCTGACTGGACCCAAGGGGCCAGGAGGTGGTTCTCAGGCGGCTCCAGAGGATGTCACCCCAGAACCCCGGGCAGCCAGGGCCAGAAGGTCCCCAATCCCTCAAAGCTGCCCCCGTACACCTGTGCACACACACCTGCCCCCCGCCCCCCATTCCTGGCTCAAGGGCAGGCACACGCGCCCCCACCTGCCTCCAATCTCGTGCCTTCCTCCCTCCCTGCTGACTCACAACCTTGGCCCAGGCAAGCGGTCAGACACACTCCCATCTGCTTGTGGGCTTGAAAACACGTGTACACACACCGATGGCCTTTTCACACTCGTGTCGATCAACCATAAACGCGTGCACATGCTTTCTCAAACAAGTGCGGCACCGGCCGTGGGCCCGGCCGGAGCTGCCCGTGTGCAGCCTGCGGCCCGAGGCGCTCCGGGACCCCGCGGCCCAGGCCCGGCCTGGTCCCTCCCTCGCCGGGGCCGCGGGGCAGGGCCGGGCCTGCGATCGGTGGCTCGGGTGGCTCGGGCTGGGAAGCGGGGCGGTCTGGACCCACTGCGGGGGCAAGGTCACTCCGTCTCGGGAGTCTCCTCCGGGGCTGTGCCCGGCTCCGGCCGCGGCCCTCGCGACCTTGCTCAACGTCCTTCTCTGGGCCTCAGTTTCCCTACTTTAAAGCCTCTCTCAGTGCCAGTCCAGTGATGCTCTTTGAGGACCCCCGGAGCTCCTGTTTCTGGGCCTCGGTTGGTTCCCAGGTCCTGCGTGGGGGGCCGTGGAGGCCGGTGGGACAAGGGGTACGAAGGAGGGACCCCCCCCAAACGCCGCCCCCCCCGTCCGGGTGGCGGCCAAGGGAGACCTGAGGGGGCCCTAGGGGGAAAGGGAATGTCGTTGGGGCCGGCGCCGGCGGGAGGCGGGGGAGGGGGGGACGGAGGGGGGCGGGGCGGGGGGGCGCGGGGGGGGAGGCGGGGAGCGCAGCGAGCGCGGCACGGAGCGGGCGGGCGGGCGGGCGGGCGGAGAGGCGGCGAGAGCCGGAGCGCCGGGCCGGGCGGCCGCGCCGGCGAGCGGACGAGCGGGCGGCGAGCGGCCCGGGGCGCGCGGGGCTCGGAGGAGCGGGCGCGGCGGGCAGGCGCGGGGCGGTCGGAGCGCAGAGGCCCGAGCGGCGCCGCCCCCGCCGCCCCGTGCGGGGGGGTGGGGGGAGATCCCCGGCTGGGAGCCCGACGAGGAGCGCGGCGGCATGGGCCGGCGGCCCGGGGCGCGGGGGCGCTAGGCCCCCGGAGGGGCGGCCCCCCGCCTCGCCGCCGCGCGCCCCGCCCGCGCCCGCCGCCCCCGGGGCCGCCGGCGGCCCATGAGCCCCGGCCTCAAAGTTTGCGGCGGGCGGGCGGGCGCGGAGCCTCCAAGATGCCGTTCCACCCGGTGACGGCGGCGTTGATGTACCGGGGCATCTACACCGTGCCCAACCTGCTGTCGGAGCAGCGCCCGGTGGACATCCCCGAGGACGAGCTGGAGGGTGAGTGCGCGCGGGACCCCGGCCCGCGGCCCTACCTGTGCGCCAGGTGAGGCGCGGGCGCGGGCGGGCGGGCGCCGCGCGGGGCCGGCCCCGGCCGCACCCCCGGCCCCCGGGGCGCCGCCGCAGGGGGTCGTGGGGGGGGCGCCCGGCCCCTGCCCGCGTGGCCCCCGGCGCTGCGGAAACTTGCCGGGCCCCGCAGCGGGGTCACGGGGCCGCGCAGCCCGCGGCTGGCGGTGCGGTGCGGCGGCGCGGCGGGGCCGGGGGGCCGGGGCGGGGGAGGGGGGGATCGGAGCGGGGTCCCCCAGCCCCGAGCCACCCGCATCCCGATCCCCTCCGCGGCGCCCGCCGGCGGCTCTGCGCTCGCATTGACATTCCGCTCGTGTCGCTTAAAAAAAAAAAAAATCCAATCCGCTCGGGCGGCGGGAGAAGGGGCGAGGGCGCCTGCGGGGCTCCCGCCCGGCCCCGGGGCGCCCCCGGCCCGCGCGCCGCCCGCGCCCCTTCCCCGCGCTCCCGCGGGGACCCCCAGCCCGTAGCGCCGGCCCGGCGGCGGCGAGGCGGTGGCGACAACAAGTGGCCGGGGTTGGGCGGCTCAGTCGCCGTAGCCGAGCCTGGAAGGGAAGGCAGAGGGGCCGGGACCCCAGCGCCCCCTCCCCGGCTCCTCCGCCTCGCGCACGCGAAGGGGAGCCCCGCGCCGCGGGCCGGGGTCCGGGGCGGGACCCCCGGGGCCTGCCCAGCGCTCCGCTTTCCCTGCAGAGCTGGGGGAGGCGCCCGGGAGTCCCCTCCCCCAGACCTCCTGGGGCCCCCAATGGGCCGGAGTTGGGGGCGGGGGGCTGTGGGCTGACGACCCCGAGTCTTGGCTTCTTAGGATCCGCGGCCGGCTGCGATCCCCAGCGCTTGACCCTGGCTCTCGGTCCCTTGGGTCCGGAGGGGGGGGGTGTCTCTGAGACCTGGGGCTCATGGGGCCCGCAGAGTGCCCCTGAGGGACCACCGCAGTTGAGGAGGAGGAACCCGGAAAGCAGCCAGGGAGGAAGGTCTTTCCTCGCGGTCTTCCCAAGCCCGATGGGGACCGATCTTGGAGGGGAATCAGATCAGGATGGGGGAAGACCTGAGAGAAAAGGCAGCTGCCACCACTAAGCTCACTGCACCACAGGCCACGAGCCACCTGCTCCTCACCCCCAGCCCCCAAGCTTTTCAGGGGCCCAGGAGACAAGGTCTGGACTCGAGGCAGGCAGGACAGATGGAGGGACGCGCGGGCCCCGGACCTGACCTCAGCGGTTACACTCAGAGTCTAGGTTCTCACCAGTCTGGGCCAAAGCCCAGGATCCAGAGCCTCCTCCAGGGCCTAGGGGAAGGAAGGGACGGGACGAGGGCGAGAAGGCAGCGGATGGGGCACGGGCATCTGTCCTCATCTTCCATCTTCATCCCCTGCATCCCCTGGGCCTTCCCAGACCTCCTGCCTGTTCCCCATTCAAGGCCCTTGCCCATCCCTTCCTCCTGGTCTCTTAAGACAGTGAGTGGTCAATCTGTCTCCGACCTTAGGCAGACTCTGCCTCATTCCCTCCCCTGACTTTTGGCACCCCCAGGATTCTGGACCCCCCAGTGCCAGACCTCCCTGGTTTGCTTCTCTCCTGACCCCCCAGTTCTGGAGTGCACTCTGAGGAAGGGGAGGTGGCAAGCCTGCAGGGTGGGCACAGAGGCCGCAGGCTCCCCTGGGCCATGGAGCAGTTAAGCTGGCAGAAGCCTACGCGTTAGTCACCACCGCCACTCACACTGCTCGGTGCTGTCCCTTCTCCCGTGCTAGGAGAGGGGCCCTCGTGCCAGGGGCGCCTGAAGGGCAGAACCATCCCGACGCTGTGGGGGGGGGTGAGGGGGCACGGGCCAGCCGGTGTCTGTGGGCATCCACCGATGAAAGCAAAGTCCTCCTCAACAAACCCCCTTTCTAGTTGCAGAAACCCCCAAAGCTCTCCGCAGGCCTGGGCTCCTTGCGGTGGCCCTTGGATGGTGAGACCGGGTGGAGAGGCTCAGATGCCCCTGCGGCCCCCACTGTCTCTCTGATGTACACTAGTGCCCCTGCCCCGGGGTGGTCTGGGTAAGACCCAGGCCCTTGATGGGAGGAGGTGACTGGTAAAGAAGCCACAGGCGCCAGCAAGACGGAGCGCGGGGGCCTGCGATGCCATAGATCGTCCGTGCCTGCCTGCCTGCCTGCTGCAGAGCCAGGCCCGTCAATCTGCGTGAGGAGAAGGGCCTGGATAGGAAGTGGGGAGCACAGAGTTGAGATGTGGGCTTTCCTAGTCAGGTAACACTGGGTCTTAGTCTGCACACTCACGGAGGGACCCTAGGCAATTCCTTGCTTCTCTGAGCCTTGATTTCCCCATCTGTAAAAGGGGGTTGGCATTGCCCTCCCCAGCACTGCTGATGGTCAAGAATGCCCAAACATAGCCGGGGAGAGGGAAGAGGGGACCCTGCAGAGGTGAGCCTGGAGCATGGGCATAGGGCGTGGGCTGAGGTGTGTGGGCTGGGGGGGGGCTCAGGAAGCTGGGGGACAGGACTGGGTCTGGCAGAGGCACTGGGGGCCTGCGGCCTAGGGGAGCTGTGGATGGTAGTTGGCAGGGTAAGGCGATAGCTGGGCAGAGCTGTCTTGGAGCCCACTTAGTCCCTGTGAGGGAGAGGCAGGGGTTCTTCTACATTCCTTTTCTCTGAGCACCCCAATGTCAGTCAAGGCAGAGGCCTTGAGACACCCAGGGCTGGTTCAGAGACATTGGGGGCTAGTGGGGTCCAGAAGATGGAATCAGGGATGGTTGGCAAGAGAGAGGAGAAAGGCAAGGCAGGCAGGAAGGCCACCAGGTTGTCAGTCCAGGCTAACAGTGGAGTCTGGGTTGCAGGGAGCAAATAGGGGGGTCTTTGAGGCAAGGAAAGGCTGAGGAGCCCCCTTCCTGCCCCTGGTCCCTGCGGCCCAACAGTCACCTCTGCACAGGCCAGGGACTCCGGGATGCTGGGGAGGTGCGGCGCAGGGCCAATGCCGCGGAGCCTGGCAGCCTCTGCAGAGGATGGGCGCTGCCCCCTCCCGTGACCTCCAGCCTGTGTCCCCCTCCGAACTCCATCACCGAGAGAACACGGGCGTCCATGGGGGCCTGCTGGGGACACCGCCCTACCACAGCTCCGCAGGTTGGGGAGGGGAGCACGGGAGGTCAGGGTGAAGGTGATTGGATTGGGGGGGGAGGGGGGGAGGAGACAGCATCAGCCTGGAAACCTGGTGGCCCTGCCAGCCCATTCCCGGGCCAGGCAGCCCTATGCCAAGACGGAGCGCACAAGCTTCCCTTGGCCTCGCGGGGTGGGGAGCGGAGTGAGGCTTTCGGGGAAACGTACCCAGCTGCTGGCGCACAGGGACAGTGATGACACCCACCCCGTCAGGGAACCCCACAGAGGCCCGGCCCCAGCCTGACTCCTAGGTGAGGGCCTGAGGCCCCGAGACACCAGGGCCTTGCTCAGGCCACTTGGCTGCAGAGTGGTGTAGAGCCAGAGTCTAAGCCCAAGCTTTGGGTCCTGGGCCCAGCCAGCAGGCGGGCCAGCCTGGCGTCCCGAGTTCACCCAGTCCTCCTTCTCCTTCCGGCTCTGCCATCTGGGATAAGCTGATTTACAGCATCCACCCCAGCCAGGCTCAGCCACGGACTTGTATGCCTAATTTTCTTGCTTAATCATCAAGCAAGTCCCATTGTACAGATGAGCAAGTCCCTGCCCAAGGTCACCCTGCCAGGATGGAGGAGAGCTGGGATTTGAACCTGGGTCCCTGTGACACTCCCTGGCTGAGATGGCCCCTGAACTGGGTCTCCATGGGCAAATGGAAGCTGGCGGGAGCCGGGACGGGGCTGTGGCGTAGCCGGCTATGCTGAGAGGGTGCGGGAAGGGCGCATGAATGGGGAGGTGGCAGGCAGTGGATTTACCTGGCAAAGGTCAGCCTGTCGTCTGACATGCACCCCAAGATTCACCTGCCCCTTCCTGCCCCCACCTCAGCCTGTCATCTGTTCATGCACCCCAAGATTCAACTACCCTCTGCTGCTGCCCTCCCCATCCTGGCCTCAGTCTATCATCAGTTCATGCACCCCAAGATTCACTTGCCCTCTGCCATCCCCCCTCCTAGCTCCACCCCACATCCTGTTCCCCCCACATCCAAGGTGCTTCCTCGGGGCCTCCAGGAAAGGAGCCGGAAAAGCCCAGGCAACCCTGGAAGGGAGAGCCACGAGGAAGAGACAGCCTGAACCTCAGCCCACTGCAGGGGAGGGGCAGCTGCCACTGTGGCCTCTCTAACTTTGTACCCCACTTTGAGAACTCCCCAAAGGGCCTCAGACTCAGAAGGATACAGTGCTTATCCCCAGGCACCTCCAAACCACCTCCACCTCCAACTCCATCTCCTTCTCTGTGGGTGATCCATAGAGCGGGAACAGACTCTGGGGATCGGGCGAGGGATGGGCAGCGCCTGCCTCCCCTTCCTGCCTTCCCTGTGGGCCCGGCTGTGGCCTCTGCTCTGAGTCCTTCCTCGGTCTCTGCCTTCTGCCTTTCGGCCTTCATTCAGCACGTGTGCACGGATGTTGTTTCGGGTCATGGGGACAAGTCATGAATGAGAACCCCCATCCCCTGGCCCCTCTCTTATGGTGCTCACAGTCCATCGAGGGGGAAAACAGGCTTGTGAGGGGCAGGAAAGAGCCAAAGTTAGCCTGGAGAGGGGCAGGGGATGAGGCAGAGGGCCGGCTGCAACAGAGCTGCCATCGGGGTCAGAGTCACCCCTGTGATCAAAGCCTAGAAGTAAATCCCGAGAGGGTCTCGGGGCTGAGTTCATGTCACAGGGGTAGGGGAGAAGGGGGAGATAGCCAGCCCCCCACATGGATGCATGCATACCTCCCCGTCTGCCACAGACTGGCAGCTGACCTGAGTCCCCACAGCAGCCCTGCTTCTGTACCTCCAGTCACGGGAGCATACTATACTGCCCCCTCAGGAAATGGTTGGACCCCAGAAATGGTTGTTGGTGTTGGTCTTGCTTAGACTTCTGAGTTCAGGATTTGCAGACACCCACAGGTCTGGCTGGGCCCAACCCAGCTGCTTCCCTGGCCCTAGGGCCACTGGTTGAGACATGAGAGTCTCAAGACTTATTCATAATGGGCCTGGGGCCCAGGCCATTTGAGCACTAGTTCTGTTTCCACCTGCCCGCAAGATCTGACACTGGTGGCAGAGCCTGTGAGGGCTGGGACCTTGGTTCAAGACTCTGCCATGAGCCATGGCTCCCAGTCCGTGGTGGGGCCACCAGGCTGGGCTTCCTGTCACCCAGGAGATCCGGGGAACAGCTTCAAAGTATAGGATCCTACTAAAGTTTTAGGGCTCACAGCTCACTTGTAGCAACAGCTTTTAAACGCAGTGGAGCCCGGCCAGCTATTGGGCCTTTTTTGCCGGATCTCGTGTCTGCATAGCACATGTGCATATATGCGCGTGCGTGCACGTGTGTGTGCACACACACACACACACACACACACACACACACACACACGAGCAGCTCCACTCTGCCCTTTGGGTGAACAACTTAGGCAAAAGCCAGGAGACTACCAAGGAAGCAAGGAGGACTTTAGATACCCTAGTGGATTGAGATCTGCCCTGCCCGCAAAGGAAAATACAAAGATGATAGGCTAGGGTCCCCAAACCCAGCCTGTCTGACGTTGTTCTGCCCATTTGGTTGTGGCTACTATGGAAGCCAGCCCTAGGTCATAGAGTTACTCCAGGATTCCAGCCAAGTGCATTGCTAACCACTGGAGTCATGCAGGTCGTCAGGCCTCGCTCACCCTCTCTGTTCAATGGGGTGGGGACCCCCCCCCCCCCGCACTGGATCTTCTGTCCCGTTTCTGTCTGATCCCAGGCTGAGGCGATCACTACAGGCACATGCGGCTGGTGCTCAGAGCTGAGCTGGGAGAGGAAGCCCAGTGGGACGGGGCTGCAGGAGGAGGGAGGGGGCTGGAAGGAGCGTGCGTGCGTGTGTGTGTGTGTGTGTGTGTGTGTGTGTGTGTGTGCCCGTGTGCATGTGTGTGTGCTGGGAACCCTTCTTAGAAGCCACCTTGGCCGGCGGGCCCAGCGTCCTCGTCCTCCTTGCACCCACCACACGGGGTCGTCGTGAGCACACCAGGAGAGCCGTGCGTGCTCAGGCCTCAGGGCGGCCATGGTTCCCGGGTCGTGCATTCTCTGCCCGCCAGGAATGCATCCATGCCCTGACTGGGTCCCCAGCTCTGCAAGCTCTGGGTGGCCCCTCAGATCCTCCCGATCTGTTGGGGACAGGCTGAGGCCCCAGCCTGTTCTTCTCCCCTGCAGAGATCCGTGAGGCCTTCAAAGTGTTTGACCGAGATGGCAACGGCTTCATCTCCAAGCAGGAGCTGGGCACAGCCATGCGCTCGCTGGGCTACATGCCCAATGAGGTGGAGCTGGAGGTGATCATCCAGAGGCTGGACATGGACGGTGAGCATCACACCCCTGCCTCCGTCCCCACTGAGCCACTGAGGCCGAGCCTACACCTGGGCTTCTTGGAGCCACCTCAAAGCCCACGGCAGGCTGCAGCATGGTCTGGCTGTTTCTCAGACACAGAGGGTGTGACAGTCTTAGTTACGTGCGGTGGGGGACAATGGCTGCTCCGCCACTCTCTGTAGTCTGAGAAATTTCAAAGTACGACAAAGAAGAAAGCGTGTAATAAACATCCCAGATCCTGTCACCTCAAAGTCATTTAATTGGTTGTTTTTGCCACCTGGCATTTATGAAGGGGCATGGGGAGCCACAGAGGGTTCTAGCGGACTGGCTGGGCCTCACCTCCTGGCCGTGCTGGCGGCCCACCCCACTCTCCACATTTCCCACCCCCAGGGCCCGTCACACTTGGTCTCCACATCTGCCAAGAGCTTGGCATGTTCAGTGCTCTAGGCACAGGAGGAGGTGCCAGTCTGAGGTCACGTGTACCAGGACTCCATCCCAGGCCCTTTGGGAACTAGGGTCCCTGCTCAGTGCGGGTTCCGGCCGGATTGGCTCTGTGCCCACTCTAGGTGACGGCCAGGTGGACTTTGAGGAGTTTGTGACCCTCCTGGGACCCAAGCTGTCTACGTCAGGGATCCCAGAGAAGTTCCATGGCACCGACTTCGACACGGTCTTCTGGAAGGTACAGCCCCAGGCTGGGCGGCCTCGGAGGGGATCCCGGGGCCTGCCAGTGCCAGGCTGTGCTGAGGGGAGCACTGGCCACTCTAGGCTTCTGTCCACATATGTCCTGCCTCCCAAAGGCCCCGGGCTCCCCGGGCGAGGCAGGTGTTGGACAATGGAGTGAGCTGTGGGAAGCAGGGCTCCTGTGGCTGCAGGGTGCTCGGTGGGGATGGCGGTGAGCACTGTCCCCCCCCCCCCCCCCGCCCCCAGTGCGACATGCAGAAGCTGACGGTGGACGAGCTGAAGCGGCTGCTCTACGACACTTTCTGCGAGCACCTGTCCATGAAGGACATCGAGAACATCATCATGACGGAGGAGGAGAGCCACCTGGGCACCGCCGAGGAATGCCCCGTGGATGTGGAGAGTGAGTGGCCGACCCTGGAGCTCTGCGGCTGGGCTTCCCTGGTTTGTGAGAATGGCCTGGGGGGGGGGACTCGTCGCCAGCCTCCAGCCTTATCATCATTTCTCCCTGGGTGGAGCCTGGGCCCAAGTGCAGGCAGCTCCTGATTCCATCCCTCCCATCCCCTTCTGTCTCCGTGTTCCCGGTGGGCGGCCACAGCCTGCTCCAACCAGCAGATCCGCCAGACATGCGTGCGCAAGAGCCTCATCTGCGCCTTCGCCATCGCCTTCATCATCAGCGTCATGCTCATCGCAGCCAACCAGGTGCTGCGCAGTGGCATGAAGTAGGCGCCGCCTGGCGCATGCAGTGCCGGGCCCGCTCCGCACCACCATTGCCGCCCGCAGCCCTGTCCCTCAGCTGGCTCCCAGGTCCACCACCCACAGGTACTACTCCAGGGCCTGGACGTCTGGCCGCTGCACCCCTCTCGCCCCACAGGCCTTGCATGGAGCTGGGGCCCGGCTGTGGAGGACTGGAGGTGGCTCTGAAGATGGCCCCCAGGCCCCGCCACCCTGCGCTCACCCAGTCTCTATGTAGCGCTAACTTCCCAATGTCCCAGGGGTCCTGGGAAATGGAGGAATTTAATTAGAGAGGAACTCCCAGCACCCAGCCACTGCTATGGTCCCTTAGGCAGGACAGGCATCCTGAATCCACAGGGCAGAAGAGGCAGAGGCTGCTGGCCTTCTCCCAGAGAAGGGTCCCTGCCTCTGACCTTCCTTCGGCCCAAACCCAGTCCTCCTCCCCCACACCTGCTGGTGCCCAAGCCTGCAGATCTCACGGGCAGTGGCCTGAGATCTGACCTGGGTTTGCCTTCGGAGAACCCCCCCCCCCCCTTTTTCAAGAAAGGCAGAAGTTTGCAGTGGAGGTAGCATCTTAGGTGTTCCCAAGGCCTCCAACCTCGAGGTCCCCCCCACCAAAGGCCCTGTAACTAAAGGCTGTATTTCCTCCCCCATCCCACCCTGCAGCACAGAACCCAGAACTGGAATCTACTGGGGAGGAAGCAGGGCTGAGGCTGGGAGGGCCTGACTAGCTGAGCAGCCAGGGCACCGAGGCCCTCTAGCTAGAACCTTGGGAGACCACCCGCTGGGCCGAGGAGCTGGTATAACCCAGTGCCATGAGTGCCAAGAGGCACGGTGAGCCACTCTTCCTGGGCCCCCCACTCCTCTGCACCAAATGCTTAATGCCAGCTTGGCACGGGCGACGTGGAGGCTGCGAGTTCTGCCAGTCTGGGATGGCAGATGGAGGCCTGGGGCGCCTCTCTGCAGACTTGGGCTGCTTACCACCTGGGCTGCGGCACAGCCGCACCTCTGCCAGGCTGAGGCTCTGCCCCCTGACCAGGGACGGGGGGACGCAGCCGAGAATACTGGCAGGAGAAACACACACCACCACCAAGACGCTTCCTGTCCAAGCATCTGGAAGTTTCCTTGCCCATCTTCTGAAGACAGTGGAATGGGGGGTGGGGGGCGCTGCCTGGTGCAGACTGGGACCAGAGGGCAGTTGGTATGGGAGGCCTGGGGAAGGCCAGGCCCAGAGCCTGGGGGCACAGCAGGAAGGGGGCTCTGAACCCCAGTATGAAAAGTTGTCTTTATTGTGAAGGGATAGTTGATTGGGTGAGAGTCTGGTGGGGACTGAGAGCTCAGCCCCACTGGACTCTGGGCTGCAGGGGCCACCCCCCAGGTGGGGGAGCCCGCAGGGAGGGGGGCAACTCCTGGACTGGCGGCCAGCCCATGGGGTACTGGAAGACGGTGGCTCTGATGGGTTCAGCCCTAGAGAGAGAGGGGGCAGAGCATCAGAATGGGCACCGCCTAGACCCAGCGCATGCTCCCGGACCCTGGCCGTGGGGAGGGCCCGCTGTCTGCATGACCTGCTGAAAGACCCCGGAGCCGGCACCTCCCCTCCAGGAACTGAGCCCTAGCAAAAAGCAGGTTTGTAGGCAGACACTGAGCCTCAAGACTGGTCTTGAGAAAATGGAAATAACCTTCGCGTCCACCCGTGGGGGACGAGGGCGCACGCACGGCTGTGGCGAGAGTGCCACGCAGCCCGCCGGATGCACCTGCGCGGCGGGACAGACGTGCTGGGAGAGGAGAGAAAGCAGCTTATAAAATAATGTATATAGCATGATACTATTTTTGTTTAAAGATATATAACATATATAAATGCATAAAAAAATCCTGGAAGTCACCTTAAAATGTCAACTGGTTCTCTCTGAGTGGTGCAGTTGTGGGTGGGTTTTTTAAATCTACTTTTCAGAAGATTTACAGGCATGCACACCTTTTAAATCAGAAAAAAGTATTGTCTAATTTTTTTTTAAAAAGGTGCCTGGGCCGGGTGCAGGCGGCTCACTCTTGGAACCCTAGCTACTCAGGAGGCTGAGATCTGAGGATTTGTCTGTGAGATTCTTATCTCCAGTGAAATCACAGAAGAAGCAGAAGTGGCACTATGGCTCATGTGGTAGAGGACTAGCATGGAGCAAAACGAGCTTAGGGACAGCGCCCAGGCTCTGTGTTCAAGCCTCAGAACTGGCAAAAAGAAAAAAAAAAAACAAATACCAAAAAACACCAACCCATCCCCCTAAACTTCCCATGCTACTTGCTCTCCCCAGTCACCTCCCCTGAATGCAGGATGCCCCTGGAAGGGCTGCTGGGACAAGGTGTCCTCTGTGTCCAGCCAGCTGACCAGGGCCTTCCCCGACCTGTTCCACGTTCAGACCCCTGCAGACTTGGCCCCTGCTGTGGCTTCAGGGCTGCGGTACCTTTCCTGGGGTGGAGCTCTCCAGGGAGCTCATGTCTCCCCGTGGGTTTGGAGCCCTCCAATGCACAGCAGGGACCAGGGGTCTATGTCCCAAAGCGAGGCCTGGCACCCAAAGGCCATCCAGTTTGCCTGCTTGCTGGAGGATCGATCAGTAGTCATGTGAACAGCACTATCGTAAATGAAGACTCCTCACAGGAACCCCAGTTTGCAGATGAGGAGAATGAGGTGCAAGTGACTTATGTCGCCCGGACATTGTCCTGACACTCCATGGCCCAGCCTCCAAGGAAGGGGAGACTCTGGCTTGGACGCCCTGTGGTCAAACCTCAGCAGAAAAAAAGAGGGCCAGGGGCCGGCTGAGGGTGGGGGCCGGGGGCGGGGGCAGCGGCCCTGACAGTTTGCCAGGCCTGTCTGGGCCCGAGGGCTTCCGGAGCCCCGCTTGGCCTCTGGGGCTCTGCCGAGGGGACGGGACATCCCCTGCCTGGCGGTGCGCTGCCTGCTGGAAAGCCACACAGCAGCTCTTGACATGATTTATGGCGCCGGGGAGATTTCATAAACTCCACTAGCCGCAGAGAAGTGTGGGTGTGGGGGAGGCTCCGCACAGTGGCTGCGAGGGAGAGCCCCAGCTGCCAGCCAGTCGCCCGCGCCCTGTGGGGTGACAGCAGGGCTCCTCCGGGGAGGGTGTGATCCTGGGGACCCCCAGCCTGAGCCTCAGGACGTTTCACAAGCGAAGCAGGCAGACTCCCCAAGCCACTGGCACACAGCGTCTGGGACCACGGCTCAGCACAGTGCTCTGTCTACCTAGTACCCCAACCAAAGGGCATCCTGAGTCGCTAGCCCCCAGCCCGAGCCCATTCCTGAAGCCCCCATAATAGAGGGGCACAGTGAGCATGCATGGGACTCTGTGGCTTCAACTGGCCGCCCTGCTCTGCGCACAAGGATAGGAGCAGTTCCCTGGCACCTGCCCAGCCACGTCCTTATCAGAAGGAAATAGAGTCTTATGGAGGAGGATGGGCAGAACAGCAGCGCAGGCCCAGAGGGGCGTTGGGGAGATTAGGAGGGATAAAGGCACAATCAGAAGAGCCAACAATAGGAAGCAGGGACAGCTCTGGCCGGGATTAGCCTGCTCACGCCTGTGGCCCGCCCCGCGCTCCCTCCCTGGCTGCCCTCTGCTCCTGCCCGGCCTGCCCTTCAGGGTCGCTGTGCTGAGGGGATGTGCAGGGGTCACCAGGCCACGCCCTAGGGAGCTCCCATGTGCCCACGATTACAAGAAGGGCCGGCCGGCTCACCTGGGGGCTCTGACTTGCTGCAGGGGCGGAAGCCTGCCAGGCCAGGTAGTCCCTGGTGGGCCAGGCAGCAGAGACCTAGGCAGAAGCCCAAGGTCTACACCCCTGTGCCCCCACGAGGCCCACAGTGTTAACACCTGGTGATAGAGCCTCTGCTCTCCTAAATGTGCCCTCAGGGGTTCACAGATGAGCTACTGAGGTAGGGGACCAGGGAACAGGCACTGGAGGCCACAGTCTAGGGACCCAGGAGCCTCTGAGGTGCCCCACTTAGGGAGCTCTGTGGGAGGGGTCTGCATTTGGCCCCTGGGCCTGGGCACTTCACACAAAGTCCAGATGGGGTGTCATTCCTCTGGGAGGGGATGGGTCAGCGCTGTACCTGCTGCTTGGGGTGGAGCTCAGCCGCTTGCTCCTCTTCTCCAGCCAGTCCTCCAGACTGCCCTCAGGGAGCTCAGTGGCATCCACTGGCCACTCCCGGGCCCGCCTCTCCTCTATGGGGACAGGGAGACAGGTGAGGGTCATGATCCTACCTGCCTGAGTCCCTCCCTCCCCTACACAGTGAGAACTGCCCGTCTTGGGGGGCTACAGTGAGCTGAGGGGTGCAATCTGGCCTTTCAGTGCCCCCAGCTCACCCCCTCCATGCTGCTCCCGGAACCACAACCCCTGCTCTGCACCTCACTCTAGGCAATTAAAGGCAACACTAATTTCTCTCTCAAGCATTGGGGAATTGGAAACAGGACAAAGAATGCAAAGAGCCTTGCTTTCAGGAGAGCCCAAATATGGGGTGCAGGAGCCAACACAGGCTGTAGAATGGGGTAGAATCTCAGCTCTGCTACTTGTCCAGTTTCTCACCCCGAGCAAGGTAATAAGCTTCTCTGTTTTTTCCTTTGGCCAGTACTTGAGTTTGAACTCGGGGCCTCACACTTACTCGGCTTGTTTGCTTGGCTGGCACTCTACCATGTGAGCCACACCCCCAGCCCAGATTTTTGCTGCTTATTTTGGAGATGGTGGCTCGCTGACTTTTCTTCCTGGGCTGGCTTTGAACTATGGTCCTCTGGATCCCAATAGCTAGGATTGCAAGTGTGCGCCACCAGCACCCAGCTGCCTCTGATTTTTCTTCTCATATAATGTTTAGACAAAAACAATGCTCACTCACTGAACTAAAACCAAGCAACAAACAGACAGAGTGTAGAGGCTGGGTAGAAGCAGGTGATGAGGGCAGAAGTCTCCGTACACTGGAATGGGGCCTTGGGCCAGGGGGAAACAAACTCATGGCACAATAAGCCCTCTGGGCCAGGCTCTAGGCTAAGAGCAGGCATCATTTCCCTAACCTGTAACAAGGGTTTGACAGTCAGGACTCTACCTCTAAGAGATGCAGCCACGTGCCAAGGCTTCAGGGGAGGTGATCTGGAACCCAAACTGCCAGCCATCTGGGGCCTCACCTCCCTATCTCCAGGCCCAGTGGCTTATGTGGTCCCTTCCACGAGCCAACCATTCCCCGAGAGCCTGTGGTCAGTGACAGGCCGGAGACGCTGCCACTGCCAGGACTTGCTGGCCAGCCCCACAAGGCCTCCATGCCACTCTGAGAAAGCTCCTGGAAACCCTGCGTGGGTGCCAGGGCCGCAGCCACCACTGTTGGCTCAGGGCGTGGAGCATGCGGATTGTGACTGGGCAGAGGGGGACAAGGCCCACCAGGCGCTGAGGCTAAGCTGCTGGGAAGCCACTGGATAGTGGAGGAAACAGCAGCCCCCTGGGGCTGTGGGGCTCCCTGGAGGCCCCTATGCCAGGCGTGCTTTGCTACCTATTCAGTGAGGGCAGACAGGAGGATGTCCATGAAGAGCATCCAGGCGGGACTTCCGTGTTCTCTAGCTGCAGAGTGAGCAGTGGACCCTAGGGGCAGACCCCAGTTTCCACAGAAGTGGAAATCACTAGACTGGGAGAACCCTGAAGCAGGGTCAGGGTTCACTTTAACGGCTTGGCCCAAGATTGTAGGGGATCTGTAGGGAGGGGGAGGGGGCTAGGGCACAGGGAAGGAAGGAGGGAGGGAAGGAGGGAGGGACAGCCACAAATCACTGCCAGAGCCTGGCCCCAAGGCCGCTGAGGTATAACTTCAGGGCTCCTGGGAGGAAGCCATGTGTGTCTGGCCCTGTTCCCAGTTGGGGACTCAGGGATTCCCTGTCCCCCTGGTGGAATGGTGGCTGCCAATGAGGGAGAGGGGGGAGGCACGGGGCTGCTTCCCCAGGTCAAGTGCCATGCCTGCTCCCTGCTCATTCCTGCAGCATCCCGGTCCCCATGGCAACGCACCCTCCACCTGGATGCTCAGCTCCTGCAGGTCCCGCTCGGACATGTGGGAAAAGCGGCAGTTGGAGCCAAAGTCACACTGGCCTGCAAGGAGAAGACAGAGTTACCCCCA